TACTATCCTAAATGCTTTGAAGACTGGTTCCTTGGAGTTAAACCAGCATTCTTTGATGTCAGTGTCATCACATACATCACTAGCTTATGAAAATAACTCTGTACTCGAAGGATTAAAACTGTTGTAGTATTATGGACGGATTTATTTAATATTCAATTGGAACCTGTGCATACTTTATAACAATTAGATTTCTTTTTATTTTTTTTTGTAGGTTGTTGGTTTGGTTGGGACTCGTATATGCATCATGGAGGCGAAATGGGAAAAAATATATTTTCCTCACGTGAAGGCCATATTTACAAGGGTTTATGTATGCGGTTCGTTTTGTTATTATACCTGATCTTATTATTGCTAGAGAGTTAAAATCAGTATATATTAAACTATGTGCTCCAACCTTTCTTGCAGCCGACATCGTATGTTTCATTGAAAATAATACAACTCTTGGCCAAGAATCCAATATGCAAAGATTAACGTACTCTTTTTCAGAACTTGCGCTATCATGAAAGAAATTTTTACTGCATAATTTTTTTTCACCAAAAGACAGGAGCTGATCATTATGTAATATCAGTTTTTGCCCTTGTCTCAGCAGATCTCATGTAGTTCCATATACACTATACATCTCCTATTTATTTTCCCACACAAATATGAACTAAATATTTCTTAAATTCCTGAAAATTAAAAAAGATTGAAACCTTACCGTAAGGCAGTGAAAAGTGATTAACAAAATATGTAACATATTCAGAAGATCAATATTGCTGGAACTATAAGGTTGGATGGAGTAGTGCCAAAAATTAATGTTAAAATGTTTAGTATAAATTCAAGAGTATATACCACTAAGTGTGAAGCTGAACGAAGGGTTTAAACAAAGATATTGGCCATAGGTATAAAGGCATTCCCTGATCCATTGGACTCGGGCCTTGATTGGAGTTTAAATTTATCAGCTGTGTAGCAGATTATCCATCTCTATACCCTCAACAGTTGTACCACACCTTTGCTTAAAATATAAATTGTTGCTTCAAATCCGCCATGTGTCCACTGCATTTGCCACCTTTGTCCCCTAGCCTTCCACATACCTTCATTGTCTTATTTTCGTAGTGTTTTTCCCACTTGGTAAACACTGAAACTTGATGTTTTGGGCCTACTCTGTCCAAAGAGGAACCACAAACGTCAACCACTAACAGATCTTCGCCGACACCGGATCCTACATCTCCCCTTGATTTACAAGAAAGCCCCCCTCAAGTGTGCTTCCTCAATGCAGTATCATCGTCCACCCCCAAATAGCCTTGACACGAATCCCCCACAGCTTGGAAGATTTCCTCCTACAAGTGAGCCGGCAAGGACATAACCTTAACCGAATCCTCCCGTGTGGTGCCCAAACCTTGGTCCCTAACAGCACCCCACTAGAGACCACTAGTTGAGCATCAAAGGTTGCCCTGCAAAGATCCACTCCGTCTATAAGATCCTGTTTATCTCCTCCTTCAATGGGAACATTAAAAGGTAGGAGGCACTTACCATCTAGAACCTACACCCTCATGTGACTTCCAATAATGGTCATCCCACCTTTCAGATCACTTGCCACCGGCATAGGATCCATATCTGTGTTCCCCAAATCCGCCAAGCAAACAATCCAGAAACTCTGTACGTCCACTAAGGGAGAGAGTAGAGATTGCAACAACCTCAACATCAACATCACAATCTGTCTTCATTTATCTCCTAGCCGCAACGCCTCTGTCTAGACATCCCCAAAAAGCTGCCATGTCCACATATGAAATTGGGTTACCCCGTTACTAGAAAAAACCTTTGGGTCGTAAGAGCATTGAAGCAAAGCCCTCCTCATCCAACCTCTAGATGCTTCAGGAAACATATGAGCAAGCAGCAACACTTCAAAATGACATCGAAAGTTTTGCGACATGACTTGAAGTTTATTCACCTTTAGAGTCCTTTACTATGATGGTGACGTGTATCACATGCTTTCAAGTAGTTTTGTTCTGCTGTAGCTCACATGCCTTCCTCAGCCTCAGCTTCACATTATTAGGTCCAAATGTTCTGCAACAAGCCACCATGGTAAAGATTCAACATAAAGCAGGACAAACACTATCTTATATATCAGCCTACCATTTTACTTCTTAGATTATTATGGATTTGTAACCTTAAAACGGGTTACGGGTGGGTGTGACGTAATGCATTTTCATGATTTAATGGTTCGGTATTGATGGAGAGAATTTTTTTCCTTTGGAATGTTGGGCGGAGGGTTGTATGTATTGGGTTTCAGTGGTGATAGTGGTAATTCAGTGGGGTGCTGCAGTGTTTGGTGAAGGTGGCAGTCTCAGACTGGGTGACAAACTGGTTTGATTATAGTATGCCTTTTTCAGCACTTAAGTACTTTAGATACCTTAGAGAGAAAAGATGTGCAAAAATTAGAGAGAAAAGGGAATCTTTGACTTTTTGGTGTGGGTTGTTGGCTTTTTGTTTTTTTAGTGACTTTTTGGCTAAAAAAGCCACTTTGCCAATGAGGCCTAATTCCTAGAAACTCTTATCCTAGACCTTTATGGCTACAATTGCAGTCAAAGATTGTTGATTACCATTTATTTCCGTGATAATTTCGTTGTATGACAATACCAAACT